TCGTAATTTTATGTTTGAGCAGCTGCGTATTGTTCTTAATGATAACCACATTACGTTGGAGCACATACTTTTGAAACATGAATCTATCCGAGCACTGGCTAAGCAGGACCTGATAGGAGTGTATACAATCATTCTCCGATTTATTGATACTACTGGAAGATTTAATCAGTCATGATGTATTAAACCTTTACGAGCAGGACGTCACATGGATACGGCGGATCTCAAAATTCGATTCCCAATTCTCTCTCTCTCTCTCTCTCTTCACCAACACTAGTATAATCTCTCTTCTCTATATACTCATTTTGTTCCAGCATGTTCATCTAGAATCCGGCATACAATGGGATATCCCGAATTGCCGAATAAGTGTTTTTTCTCTGATAGTTGTGCTTTTATTTTTATTTTACCATTATTTCGTGAATAAAAGGAAAACTGTTTAAAAAAAAAATGCGGTTAGGAAAACACACTTCTCGAGTTTACCAAAGCTAAAAATCTCTTCGACTCTCCCTAAAAAAATCCTTTTGGTTTTTTTAGAATGGTACTTAGTACTTCTGAAAGTACATGGCAAGTGAGAAATTTTGAAAATAATTACCAATTTTTCCAAGTACTTAGCAAGTAATCAGGTACTTGCGTCAAGTACGTTCTCTAGGGTATTGTTCACCTTTTTCTTTATGCAGAATTAACAACAAACTTTGGTTAGGTGTTTTTTACTGTGCGCTTAGATTTATTGAATAATACTTGTACCACAACATGGAATAATCCGATAACATTACTTTCAATAATTAAAGAAAGCGAGTTATAACTATGTTCTACATTTCGAGGCGGATCGAATGGAGCAAGAATGAAGGTCCTAAAAGTTAACTTGAAAGAGGATTAAGGATTGCAGGATGGTCTCTCATCGCTTTTAGCGCTCTCGCTTCAAAATCCCGCCAAAATCTTCACTTTTGGGCTGAAATTTTAAAAGACAATGTTTTATAATCAGCTTTTCACGCTGATTCCGAAAACCACATCGCCGACTCTCTACAATGCTGAACAGCAAAGATATTCAAATTCGTTTGAAAAAATAGCAAAATCTCACAAAAACGGACTCACTCAATTTTTGAATTTCTCTCCTGCAAAACGTGCACTGAAATTTTTTTGAATAAGATATTCGTAGACAGCGTCGAATGAATCATATTTAAGACAAAAGTAGAATAGCGTGGAAACTTTGAATTATGTGCACCTTAGGATAAATTTAACTACGAAAATCTCCATGGTAAACTATGTTTATTCGCTAGGGTGCTAGTGAATACGGTTTTGAAGAGACAACTCTTATCCTGTGTCGTCAAAAACTTTCTGGAACTTATCCCATCCCGCGCACCTCTGCTAGTTTATGCATTGCGACATTAAATTATTAGTAGTGAGTAAAAGCATAAGCACTCAGGAGGTTTATTGACAAATAAACTCTGAAAGACACTGACAGCGTCACGTGGTTGAACAAAAAACAAAGCTCGTTAGCAAAATAAATGTCTCATCATGACACATTTTGTATTACTTCCAGATTTTTTCCACATCGTAGTATTCCTTCTGTTGTACCAAAAGATGAATTAGGCTTGATTATACTTCGCTTTACATAACATACTCTAAAGCCTCATTTACCACTGTAAACTGCTCAAGATCATTCTTTGAATAACTCAATAAATAAGCTATGATTATCTTTGGCGATCGGCTAACAGCTTGTTCACAATGAGCCAATACTGTTCCTTTGTCATTTTCAATGGCATTTGATATCCATTCGGTATCTGTAGGAAATGTTAAGAATATATAAGCGATGAACGCTTTTGAGCTATGGATTTGTGGTGATCGGGTCTAGTATTAGTAAAAGTGTTCTTTCCAGAGTTGGAAATAATTTTTCTCGCAATGTAAAACAAAATTGTTCATACGCAAATAAATTTTTAAAATTTATTTCAAGTTATCTGCAATATGATGAATATTGAATACATCCTCCCAAAAATACGCTTGACGATACGCTAAATTTTTTATATGCGTAAAAATCGCTTCAAATATTCCATAAATGTTAATTGTGGATTCAAAAGAAAGTTTCAATATTTCTACGTGAGAAAAACATCTCGAAAATTGATTATTATATTCAAAAATATTCGTATTTATTTTTCAGCAATATCTAATTTAGTAATTCTATTGACTATTTCATAAAACACGTTACAACCGTTATTGTTTTTCGAGTAGTTCAGCAGTTGACAGAGACTAGAATAATAAATAATTAATTTACTAATATTGGGTAACATACAAAATAAATATTTAAAAGAATGTTCATTATCAAATCGTTGTATTCGATTGTCGAATTCAATTGTATTTACATTCGGAAATAGTAATTGTTGATTTTCTCTTATGAAATCTTGATCAAAATCAATTTTAACAAAATTCTAAGATGTTTTAAATTATGATACTTTTTTTCTATGCCTCGTAATAATTCGTATGTAAGAGGTTCTAAATCGAAGCTGTTGGGTGTTATAGATTTGACAGTTGTCCAAGATTTTGGATCATTGAATAGTTGATAACTGTTGTTTTTGTTTGAATGAAAATTAATAATTTTATTGAATAAAAAGTCAGTATTATCAAATAAAAATGGTAAAGTATAGAGATGATACTTTTCTAAATAGTTATCTTGATGACACACAGCGTATAATTGATGAGTTTTTATCCATCCTAATAAATTACGTTCAAGGCAATGACCATTAATAAATTCACTCAAATGACCTATTGCAAATAAGATATTAGTCAGATCAGTCACATATATTTAACCTTTTACCCTCCCTTGGTCACTGAAGTGACCATTAGTAGGTCGATGGCAAAAAATTAAGAAAGCAAAAAAAATGTTCTTCTACCAACAAGCAAGATACGTTTTGATAACCTATTGTGTAGTATATAACGATAATAATTCTTCTACCAATATTAATGCCTTTCGAAAGTTTCAGAAAAACCAGGTAGTTAAGAGATAATATGACACAAAATGGTCACTGGCGTGACCATTGGAGGGAATGACATGAAAAAGTCCTATTTTGGGCTTTTCGTAAATTTGATATAGTTCAACCAAAAACCATTGTAGCTAGCCCAGGGACGTCTCATTTTGTAGAAAATTGTTTGCTCTATTATTTTACATAATTTGAATGAAATTGAAACGAGATTTTCCATCTAGAATAGTCGTCCGACTAACGAGGGAACCACCCGAGGTGATAGATCGCTTTTTGATCAACATCTAGTGGGTTATAGGTTATCGACCATGCTGATTCCGAATATGATCATGGGACTTCCCCATACCTCTTCGAAGATCCAGTCTTCTGGAAAAACAGTTTTCAGAAACCCCAAAAAATAACTCAAGCCTTTCTTAACAATTCAGGATTGTAGCGCGCAAACTTCTGATTAAAATGAAACATGCCCCAGCTCTACACGACCTCTCTTTGCAAAAACAGGATTTATAAAAAGAGCCCTTAATTAATTTTTTCCTTCTTATTTCTGTAGATTTGTGCTGACAATGAACAATTTAGAGCTCTTCTTATAAATTCTTTAATTTTGCAAAGAGAGGGCGTGTATAGCTGGGGGATGTTTCATCTTAATCAGAAGTTTGCGCGCTACAATCCTGAATTGTTAAGAAAAGCTTGGGTTATTTTCTGGGGTTTCGGAAAACTGTTTTTCCAGAAGACTGGATCTTCGAAGAGCTATGGAGAAGTCCCACAAAATGGAAAATCTCGTTTCAATTTGTACTCACGAAGATACACAGTTTTTACTTTTTATAGAGTAAATGTATTTTTGATCACCAAACAGCTTTAGATACAAATGATCACGAAAAAAGGATACGTTTGATCAGCAAATTAATACTATTCAACAGCTCTGCATGTCTGGGTTGGGTTGGGTTATCATGTCTGTCGTTAACATATATCGCTAAATCTCTGGGTTGGGTCATCATGTGTGTCTGACTAGTGATCATCAGTTCTACATCTCTGGATTGGCTTGGATTTAGTTGTCATGTCTCTATTCAACATATATCAGCAAACTCCTGGGTTGGGGCGTCTGGTCTGACAGTTTGCCTAGAACCTTTGCGGCTGAAAAATCCTGTGAGATTGTTTTTTGTTACTTTTACTGGATAATGTGTTTTGTTTATCTTTTGTGCGGCTAACGTGTTTTGTATACGTTTATTTCAAATAAAAAGTGATACATTAAATATTCAAATTATGAACGTTCGTTATCATCGTCAGCTTGTAGAGCACCGGCCGCGGAACTATTTAGAAGACATTGGCAGGTTGCATATGTCTCTTGATTCTCGTTGTTGCGGCATAAAAATGTGGCAAACCGGTTCTAATGTGATTCACAAAGTATCTTATCTGATGTCGTATCTGCCAAATCCATTTTACCAAAAATCTATAGATATGTAGAGAAATGGTCGATATATGGCACGGAGCAGGATCAACGAGGTGAACACGTCTATCCACACCACATACTTGAAGCAGATATTGTCTTTTATAACACTATATCTGTTCAGGGGACACTATCTTACCAATTGTCTTTTATGGCACTGTTCATAGCGGCTCGTGAATTGTTTTCTTTTCTCACCTCTTCCTGAAAGCATAGCTTAATTAAAAATGATGTACTTTAATTTAATCAGTATCATCTGCCCTCGGGTACACTATAACCGATTTCATTTCATCGACCGATACCTTGGCCTTCTCAAACTTTTCAATAAGATCAGTACAGGTAAGCAGTTCATCGTCCGTACATTCCACGAGTATCGAAATTGATTCAGACATACCATGTTCCATCTCAAATTTCAACACGCTTTGTAGTAGTTGTTCATCATCGGACCACGACGTGTTTAACGAATATGAATGTTGTTTAATATCATTTTTGTCGCCTGATATATCCAACATGGATATATCTTCGTAGGAACTGATTTCATCCTTAACGACTGACAAATCAAGATGAATGTCACCCCTTGTAATATCAAGAATCGAATTCGAGACGGCAACATCGCTGTCGTCGATGTAGACAAATTCGAAGAAAACTAAAGTACTCCAATAGGATAGATACACATCAGTCGATTCATTTTTTCATCCTGATTCCAAACATGATATTTTTATTGCATAAAAGTTACGTTTTCGTGGAGAAAATTGAGAATTATGAATTACATTCATACCAACAAAAACAATTTGGGACTCAAAGGGTTAATATCGGTGAAGCTCGGCGCGCACTAATTGTTAGAAGCGACACCACATTAGCTGCCATCATAGTGCTATTTGTGCTGAGCATCGCACTTTAAACATATTCTCGAAATAATGTGTTTGTCACCCAAACTTCTTATAAGGCAGCTCGGTTCGCGGCAGTAAATATAGAAAAGCCGTAAAAATTCCTCACTTTATGTAGTAATAGTCAAACACAGTGACATGAAACGATAAAAAGCTTTGCGATAAAAATATTTCAGAATGAACTCACCTCTGTTCCCTCATAACTGCCTTTTCACAGAGAAGTATCAATCATAACGTTGTTTATTAAGAAAAGGATACAACAAACTTGACTTAGCGAGCAGACCAAGGTCTATGGTGCAGAGTCAACCAAACAATCTAACGAAGAGTAAGACAACTACATAGATAGATTGTACTTGTGAGAATAACAATAAAAGAGAAAGTACAGTAATAGACAAATGTCTTTGAGTCTGTGATCATATTAAAAGTAAAGGGGGGAGAATATGTTGTGCTCTAGACTGGAGCAGTGATC